TTCCAGATTCTGTTTCTTGAGTTAAATACACTGTTCGCCGTGTACCGGCAGAACCCAACATAAAGATTCATCTAATGATGACGATGTTTCCAAACTGAAAATTTTATACATAAAAATCTGATTATATTTTATTCACTTTTGCAAAAGTACATTTAGCAATTCAAGGATGAAAATCAGTTTTCGCGTTATAGATAAAAAATTTAGATTTATTTATATAAATTCTTTTCTAAATACCTTTGATTAGGAGTATTATTTTCCCCATTACCATCACATTTTTCACCCAATTCTGGCTGTAATGTTGAGTTAACTACATGCGAATCATCAGTCCAAGAATGTCGATTCTGTAATGAATAATGAAAAGGTAAATTTATGAAAATAATGTTTTTTAAATTTATAAATATATTTACTCTGCTTGGAACTTTTTTCATTAAGTCTGATCCAGCTTTACAAACCCGATGAACAAGTATTGACCCAAATGCTTTCCTAAAAGAAAACAAAAACCAATATCAAATAAAAATTATTATAATTGCAATGAAACAAACAGATTTTATAGATGAGAATTGAAACTGATATAATCCAAAAAGTAATTTTTATAGATACCGTTTTGAAGAGCAACTTTCAAGTTTCCTATAATGTTCCATAATTTTTTCTTCTAGTTTTTCCTTCTGACGACATAAACTGTTCACTTTATCTGTAAATAATTTTTCTTCATCATGGTAGTGTTTATTGTCTTCAATAGAATGAGCCAATAGTTCATGATACTGTGAGAGTAATTTTGATACTTGGTCCATTAAGATTCGTCTGTCGCTGTCCAGACAGCTGTTTCTTTGTAGCAACATCTATCAGTATTTATAAATTATTATAGATTCTTATATTTTAAATCAGCTTATGTAAATTTTTAAATGTTCTAAAATCATGATAAAAATCATTTTTAAAATACCTCACAATATTGGCTGACTTTATGCAATTCGAGTTGCAAACTTGTTATAAGGTCTCTCCTATTGTTTAATTCACCAGTTAATTCAGTATATTGTAATTTTTGACGGTGGGACTCACTTCGAACTCTCCTGTAATAAATAAATCATCCGTATATATAGTCATAGAATATATAGTGAAAATAGGTATTAGTTATACTAATTATAATTTTCTTATCTCAATGATTTACCTATATTGTTCTTGGAGATTTCTATATTCTGCCTTCAACTTATCACTTGCAGTGAAAAGATGTTTGAAATCTTCCTTTAAGTTTGAATGTTCAGATCTCAGATCTACTACACTTTGTATTTCTGCTTTCAAATTAGAATTTTCTTCCAAAAGAGATTTTATTTCTTTTTCATTAATTGCTAATTATCACTAATGTCTCTATTTTCAGCCTTCAGATCTCGAACTGTGCCCCTAGTACTTTCACGCTCCTTTGTCAATATTTCATACTCCAAAGTCAGTTGTTCATGCAAATTTTTAACGTTTCCAAATCCTTGGTAATATCTAAGTTTTCCTTTTTGCTCTGTTGCAGTTCCTTTTTAATATCTTCTTTTTGTGTCAAAAGTTCGGTATTCTCAGTTTGTAAAGAAACTTGTTGGCTTTGTAACGAAGTAATTTGAGAATTTAAAGTAGTAACATCAACTTTGTACACTGCATTTTCCTTTCGTATTTGCCCATTGACTGTTTTCAACAATGATAACTCAGTGGTTGTGCTTTGTTCATAACTCTCATTATTTTGTTTGCTATCACTCAGAACAGTATTTAATGGCTTGTCTTCACTACATTTGTTGCAAGTATCACATAATTTTAATGTATTTTCTTTGTTTATTTTGGCTATAATATCCTTCACAATTTCATGATTGTCAGCGTTCATCAAAATATTTTCAATGCAATATTCTAAAGAGTTGTCTGTTTTAAGAACATTACTCACGTCCACACCTAATTTGTCCAGATCAAAGATGCTCTCTCAAAGTTTAGTTTTCTGCGACCAAATCTGCTTGCAAAGTAGAAATGATTTTATCGGTCATTTTTGATTGTGTTTCATTGTCTTGAATTTTCTTTTCATTTCTTCGATCTTTAAAGCTAATTCTTCACTATTATGCAAATCCTTTGTGATTCTTTCAATTTCTTGACTCATTTCTTCAATGTATATGGAACTTTTATCAAGTGAAACTTCTTTTTCCTGTAATAAAAATTATAAATAATTTTATAAGATATTAGATATAATTATATTAATGATTATATTAATAAAACAAAATACAAACTTCTATAAGATCACGTAATTTCTGCACATCTTTCATCAATCTCTGATTTTCTTTTTCCATGTTTACTATCTTTTCATTTAGCTTTGCAATAACTTCTTGGCTCTGTTTTGATGATGATGCCTTCTCCATTAAGTCACAACATTCATTTGTCTTAGCTACTAATAACTTATCTAAATCATCATATTTTCTTTGAAGACATTCATTATTATGAGATAATGTTTGCCGTTCTTTCATTGATGCATCTAATTGTTTTTCAATCTCTAACAATTTCTTTTTCTCCAACTAATATTAGAAAAGTCACAGAAAAAAATGTTTAGTAATAATTACTACAAGGAATAATTATGCATTTAAATTCATTTTATATTTTGTATTTTGTAAATTATGTAAATTATTACCTCTTTCTCATTTGTGATCTTATCAAGCAAGTGCTTATTATTGTCCAATTCACTAAGCAATTTTTTATTTTCATCCATTGAATTTTTGAAAATTTTCTCAATTTCACCGTTTTGATCTGTTAATCTATCACAATTTTCTTTTAATTGAACACATTTCAAAGACAATTTCTTCCTCTCCTTTTCAGAATCTACTAAGTTATTTGAAGTTTCATTATTGGTCATGATCATGTCATCTATTCTGGATAGTAATTGTTTGTTTTCTAGTTCCAATTTCAGTACTCTCGCCTAAAATTAAATAAAATATATCTTATATTTTAAATATTAGAAATCTGTGAATGCTTATTGGATTCTAATTGGAAAATATAAACATAATATCAATCTTAATTTAATCAAAACATTTGCATGTACAATGCAAAACTTAATAAAATTTAAGTAGTAATTTGAAAATAATATTTACTTCTGCATCTGTTTTTAGCTGATCTATCAAACTTGTTTCAGCAATTGAGTGGTCATTTTCGGCATTTTGGTCATTCAGCGTACTGCTGGTATTTGATGAATCAGAAACTGCAGATTTTGTTAATAATTGTAAATGTGTGTTCTCTTCTATTAAATCCTGAAGTTTACTGTGATCAGCTTCTTTTTGCTAAAATACAAAACATCTTTTAGAAGTATGTAAAATAACTCTTGAAATGTCTGATCTGATTTAGATAAAAATATAACATTTTTAGCTTATTCATTATAATTTATATTTTGAATCTTACCAGTACTAAATCATTAACTCGTTGTTTATATTTAATTATTTCTGTCTCAAGTGATAAAGCTTGCTCACTGCGTTTTCTCGCTCTTGACAACTGCTCTTCAAGCATTTCAATAGTTTCAGAGAGATTTTTGTTATCTTCTCTTAATTCCTCCACTCGATTTTTATAAAATTCATCATCATTCATGCGATCACGTAATTTCTGAATTTCCTGCTCTAATCTATCTGCATGTTCACATTTTTCTCTTAATGCATCGATTTCATCTCTATATGCTGAGGCTCTACAAGAAGCTTGAAACCATTCTTGACTCTAAATTAATTGAGTAATAAATAAATTATATATAATCTTAAAATCCTATTATTTTACCTTATCAATAATATATTTATTTTATTTAGAAAGACAAATATAAAATTATCATTAACTGTACCTCAATTTTTAACTTTTCTAGTTTTTTCTGTGTGTATTCAAGCTCCTCTTTATATTCCATTATTACTTCTGACTTTTCCTCCCTTAAAAATTAATAAAATATTATTTAAGGTTCATTTGGCTTTATTGCATATTAGAATAATTTAAACATACAATTCCTGCCGTTGTCTTCTTAGTTTAGCTTTCCAATCTGCAAGTTCAACCGCATGATGATTGTTATCAATACCATGAACCCCATTTTTTGATGGGCTTGATAATTTATCTATTGAACTAAGAGAGTCTACCAAAATCGAATTCATGTAGTATGAAAAGTATTTGTCACGCTCTTTAATCAAATTCATTAATGATTGTCTTTGCATTGGAGAACTAGTAGCTTCATCATATTCATTTGTTAAAACAAGTGTTTGACTGTCTATCACCTAAAATTAAGAAAAAAAAACATTTCATTTTACACTATTAACCACATCTTTGGGATCTCATAACTCATAATCAGTTAAAATAATTGTTTGACTCTACATAGTTAACTATGTATTAAATATAATAATATTTAATATTTATTAAAGTATACCTGTGTAATATAATCTTTAATTGCATGCTGCACAGTTATATTAAGATCATATATATTCTGTATGAATGTTTTTCGATTTGGGCATTGAACTGCTGCACCAAGTAATAATAAAATTAATAGTTTCATGTTTTCCAAGCCTGATCTTGAATCAGGTTTTGTTCCTAATTCTATGAAATCGGGTACTGATACAATTGTTTGTCTGAATTCTTCATCATATAAAGTTTTTAGATTTTTAAAGATGTTGTGAAAATTATTAATCCTAGAAGCAACAATCATTTCATTATTTCCAGTTAGTTTACAAATAGAATGAGCTGGTTCTGGATCTATTTGTAACAAACAGAAAAAATAAGAGATCCATCCCACAGTGATGAATAATCAACCAGTTTTTCTGACTCTTGCAGACAAGATTTCAACTGTAAGGGAAATAGAAGTAGGTTACATATAAATAGTAACAACTCTTTGATATTAGTGATAATAAAATAGAACAGTATGTTTTTGACTGCCAAGAGAAATTTTTGTAAATAATTCATGTCAACACGTTCGTTTCCTTTAGTTTTATTTAATATTGCGCAAACAAGTGTCATTTACTAAATGAACGGCAGTTGATATGTATCACAATAAAACAACAAACAAAACATTAGTTGCTCACCCAAGCTATTAAAGGTCCGGAAAGAAAATCTTCGATATCTGAACTTGCTGTTGCCATATTTACACGTTTTATATCTATTTCTTATTTATATACTAATATAATATATCACAATGTTTTACTTATTCACATATTTAGCAATTTCACACACAGCACTAAATTTACAAGTTATGGCATTATTCCAGCTTAACCAACAGATTATAAAAAACACCATATGCTATATAGGACTAAGATGTGCAACTTTAAGGCAAACCAGCAACTGTCAAACTTACGATATGAGGCGCACGAAGTTAGCTGCTGAATATATTCAAAAACTAAGACCGTTAAGAAGTCGACTTGAGTCGACTCTAGATTAGATTTAAATCATCTGCTTGACTTCCGGAAATGTATCATAAATTCCTTCCTTCAAAAATATTCATTTATACTTTTCTTTTATCTATGCATTTATATTTTCAATAATTACTCTCATAAATTTATATTAAAAAATTGACATTGTAAAAGAACACTCATTAAAAAGTAAAAATATATTGTCAATTATATTACTCTTTATTATAAATATATATCAAATTTAGAACGAAAAAATAAATAATCTTCAAATAAATAATACTTATCCTAATAAACAATACAGTTTAACTTGTCTGTTTTCTCTAAATTAACAATATAATCACAACTGAATTATATGTACTCATCATATTGAAGAATAGTCTATAATTTAACAATTTGCAAAGATTGAAATAGTCATTAAAATATTATTATACTTAATTAAATTAATGTTGATCAAGTTACAAAAATAATTGCAACTCATATGATAAATACGTAAATAATTAATCATGGAATGTAAATCACTAAAGCTATCATTCCATAAATAATTCTACTCAAATATTATGCTGATGGATGATGAAATAAATGAGCTAGAAGTTCAGGATGAGACATCTCTTGCGGTATTTCTGCACAATTTCTTGCACTTTAAGTCTTCGTCTGACATGTGGTGGTTGATAGCTGTCGTTATCTAAACGCCTCCTTCGAGCCATATTTAAAGCCGTTTGTCGCACAAGTGGTCCAAGAGCTCGTCTACTAACAACCATTCCATCAACAAGTGGTGTTGCGGTAGTCATTCTACCTACTGGCCCCTTTAAAATCGGTAAATATGGTATGATAATTGAACTTTAACGTATATTTTAAGTTTTGTAAGCAATTAATTTTGCATAATGAAATAATTATGAATAGTTAGTAGGAATGAGTATTCTGCACACCTGCAAATGCACCCTGAGTAAGCCAGAATCCAAAGCATGCAAAAATATAACTAATGCATCTTGAGCTTTAGGAGGAGGACCTGTCTCCAATCCAGTTCCGGTGTATGCTAATAAATTATCTACAAACAATGTAAAAACTCAATTATGCTTCTGAATATTTCACAATCATCAATAGTTTCAAAAGTAAGTTAAAATTACCTAAAGGTACAGTGAGATGATCTTCATAGCTCTCAAGCCATATGAGTAGCATTTTAGTAGCTGATTGTTGGGTAGGCTTTATTCCGCCAGTTCTACGGCGCTGAGGTGGAACAGGATCTAGATGCATATTATACATATTTTAATTGCTACATGCCGCTTTAATTTGTTTTTGAATACTTATCATGAGTTTTATCAGACCTGTCGCTTTGTCCGAGTCAAGCGATAAGGTTCGACCCTTGGCCTGCTGAGCACGCTGCTGCGCTGCTGGTGAAGCATCGCTGACGCTTCTTTCGCCCAGTCCTGGATTCTGTTCTGCACCTGTAATAGATGTTGGCGCATCACCATATAGTTGTGAGTTGGTTGCCACAACGAAAGCGATTTCTGAAGAAGCATCCGCCCAATACATTATCTGCTCATCACCATTGTAAAGAGCACCACCATGATCTCGATTGAGTTGTGGCGCATCTTCCTAAAAAAAATATGAAAATAAAAATTATATTATATATATATATATATATTATATATATATATATATATATATATCTATATATATTATATATATATATATTATATATATATATAATATATATATATATATATACTATATATTTATGTCCGAACTTACATGTGTTTGCTTTTTATCCTGTTTAGTTCTCCAACTTGTTGTAGCATGACCGGTCCATCCAGCATGATCGCTAACTTTAACAGGCCAGCCCAATGACCTCAACGCCTCAAGGTAATGAGGCGAAACATTCGTTGCGCTGTCGGCATTTGCTGCGATATCCCGTGCAGCCCGTTGTCCAGATCGAACGTAAAAAACGTGTACGGTATCGCAGGTTCGTGGACTCATTGCGTCTAACTGCTGCAGATCAGCGAGGAAACCAGGAATGCTATTATCCAAACATACTAGAGGCGCTGATACATTACCAGAGTGAGTTTGTTCTTGGTCCTAGATTAAATAATTTTAAACAAAGCAAATTCATTTTTTCCATTACTTGACTTTTTTCTTATTTTTATTTACCTCTTCCAAATCGCGTGGATCTAAGAAACCAAAGTGTGCAAGAAAGAGCCTGGCTGTTTGAAAGTCATGCCTAGGTTTAGGTTGACGACATTCGCTTGCTCTTGACAAAGCCTGCTCCGAAGCAGCTGCCGCTTGCCAACATCGCTTTTCTTGAGAGATTTGTGCTGCTATCACTGCTCGTACAGCAACAGTAGCCGGGTCTGCATGACATGCTAAAGTTTCTAGAGCTGGTATAGATTCATCTCTGTAACGAGTAAGTTTGCGAAAAAATTAGATAATGAGTACTATAACACAGATTAATTGTAATTACTATCTAACTTACGCTATACATGGAGGTACACGATCCACCGCTTCTGGAAAATAGTGCCGCTCTGGTTCTCGGGCAGTAGGTGCTTCAGACATTGGCACTGGACGACCAGGATTAACCGCACCAGCTTTACTTCCTGATTTACTACGCGGCAAATGCCGAAGTTGCATACTCCATGCGTGACGACCGGAAGGAACACGAGCCAAAGCTGAATTAGGTATTGTTATGAAGAATACGAATGATATAAAACAAACTTTGGAATTATAAAAAAACTATTTTATTCAAATATCATATCATATATTTTCTCTAATCTCTGCATAGTTGCATGAACAACTTAAGCACCTGTGACTGTTGGTTGTGGATCCTGATCATTTCCTAAGGGTTCTTCTAAAAGAGCAAGCAGTGTAGTGTTTTCAACTACAAAATATCTGAAGGCTCGGACAGCAGATTCACGTGCATTATTGCTTTCTTTCCAAGCATTGCATTGGCGCAGTAACGCCATTTCATCAAGCAAAGAGGACGGACTTTGCGCTCCGCATAATGAAGGAAAATATCCAACCTGCATAACAAAATATTTGACTACTGTACAAGTCCGGTTTATTAATGTTTAAGAAGAAACTAGGTTTATAATCAAAGCTATACCTGTTCCAAAATAACTGTTAACAAATTTTCTGCTGCATCACGAACTCGCATTGAAACAGGTTTCAATTCTTTCTCATCTTTCATTTTAGTAGGTTCACCAGTTTTACCTGTATCAATATTTGAAGATATATTATTTCAACATAATTTTTCTTAATTAAGGTGTGAACATACCAACACTCTTTGATCCAGATATACCCAATTCGACTACTTCCATCACAGTTTGCAAACAATCTTTATCATTCAGCAATGACGGATGTTCAACCAGCCATACGGCTAAGCAATGGTAAGCAGCTACAATTCCACTATGTAGATCTTTGCTGTGAGCTGGTGGTGGACGAGAGCATTGAGATGACACAAAATCACATATCCACTTCACGGCACGTTTGCATTCTAAGGCTTCTGTATTAAAAAGGAAATATATGATAAAAACAAAATAAAACTTTTGCATGATTAATTTAGCTATAAATAATACTGGTACAACTATATAATTTTTTATATCTGAGAAGTATATTAGTTTGATATATTACTCATAACTAATTTTAATCATAACACAACAAACCTGATTCTCTGATATGTATTCTAGCCAATCCTGTAAGAAGTTCCAAAGCTGCTAGAGAAACATGAAGATCTGTTTTCCAAGTCGAAATTAGTCTATGACAAACCAAATACGTCGCCCTCACAAATAATGCATGAGCTGAATCTGAAATACGTTTAACACAATGTAAATAAATTAAAAGTTGTAACATCTATTAAACAATATTGAAGAACGATGACAGAAAGTTTCAGTGTGTGAAATGTAAAAATATTATTAACTCATGCCTAATAGTACGCAAACGAAACTTAAACAAAAATAATAAAATTTTATAAATAGGTTTTGCTAAAATGTAAAACATAAAAAAATTAAAAGATATGAAATGTCTATTATGATAATTAGGTTGAGAAGTACAGCACTGCACGCACTATTTCAAATTGGAAATAGTTTAACACAATCATCAGCTTAAAGTATAGTCATTATGAATTCTGAAGATTTAAAAAAATATAATTAATTGTTTACATTTACAAATCATTACTAGAGTTATATTAATTTTTAAAGAATCGCTATCAATATATAATATATTAATATACATTGTATATTAATTTCAATTGTTTACAATAATTTGATATTTCGATATTTAAGAGAGAGATTATTTAAATTGAGATAGAAGACATACACAATAGTTGCTATCAAGGTAAGACATGTGAAAGACACACATGATGAAAGTAGGATTAGTATGAACAAGTATTTATTATTCCAATGAGGAGTTAATATATTACCGTTGGCGGATTCTACATCAGTACTATACTCTTCAGAACCCGTAAAGCTTTGATACTCATTGGTGACCTGAATAGCACTGCTACTTGCACTACCGGTTGAACAAGCACTGTCAGAGCAAGCTGCCAACACAACAAAATTAACAAAAACAAAAATCACAACAAGCTGACAAAAACAAATAAACATACAAAATTAACACATATATTAAGCTAAGTGAATGATTTTCAATATTTCATCAAACTCGATAATGTTAAATAATAAGCAACAGTTCTAAATATCTGTGATGAAATACAGTCCAATTTAAAGATATAGTTTTTATATCCGGTTTGCAATTATACAATATTTATAACCATTGTTATATTTTATTTGCAGCACCAATTGAAGATCATTCCTTATAACAATCAAATCAAATCAAATCAAACAATTCTAAAATAAAATAAATGGATGAAACTAAAAACTGCAACTTATGGGGCATTTCTGCCATAACAGAGATCTTAAAATAGCGTTGTCATGGCAACAATCTCTTATGCTTGTTCTTGGTAGTGAAAATTGCAAGCAAGGAATAATGTTATGCTAACAGAATTCTAGATGGTGCGGTTATCATAACATTCTCCTTGCTTTGTTTATATGTAAAATACGCCTGCCCATACGTAAAATCGCACAGCAAATAGACATTTTCATAATTTTCACTACCAAGAACAAGCATAAGATAGCGTTGCCATGACAACGCCGTTTTATGAGCTCTGGTACGGCAGAATTGCTCCATTAATCAATTTTCAGGCAAATTAATATAATTTATATTAATAATTATGAAGCTACGTGTAATTTGTAATTCCAAATCATTTAAAATCAAGCTAGGTGAATTTGCGAAATTAATAGACATAAAACAACTTCACAAACACACAACATAAAAAGCAAAATTTCTATACTATGCTAAAATGTGATTATAACTTAGATTAAAAATTGAAAGCCTTTAGTATAAAATTGATTATTTCAAATATTTAGGTAATTCTAAAAATCATACAATCGCTACATGCTTACAAAAATATATGTAAATTATAATTTATATATAAAAACCGTTTATAAAAATAGCAATAAAAAAATATTTGAATTTCAAAAACACGCGATTTTTGTGACAAAAAACGTTTTATGTAAAATTTGTTAAAAAATTATTTATTCAGATAAGATATTTTTTCTCACTATTCATTGAAAGAGCTTTTAAGCTGTCGCGTTTTACAACCTGTTGATTTATACAATTATTATACCAGAACTTAGGAGATTCCGTTGATCATATGCATCCCTGGCAATATTTCCATCGGAGCATTCTGCTGCAGCAGAATCCTGCACACATAGAAGCAGACCGCCCAACAACATATGAGCATTTTGGCCATCCCATTCCACTTGCAAAGCGTTCACTAAGAGATTCATCAATCGAGGTTTCAGAGATCCAAACGTTATCAATCTGCAAAAAAAAATAGTCTACATGAAAATTGTGAAATAAAATCTATAAACATTTTTTCTTTAATTAAAAAAATAAAAATATCTTGATAAAATTTATAATATTTTAATTTATCATTAATAATTATATTATCATACTTATCATTTGTTCCAAATAGATTGCGAATCGGCAAATTCTGGAAGTGCAGTGGCAGACAAAGCATAGAAAGTAGTAAATGAATGCTACTTCTTCTTAATTCTGTTTTATTAAAATAATTTGATCTTAATATGAGATCTTTGTCGGGCAAAACTATTTCTAGGGCGGAGATAAACGACGGAACCAAAATTTGTACACCATCTAAATCCAATCTGAAAAATCATTACCATATTATATAATGATAGTACTAAAATGTCGTAAATCTATCTGAGCTATAATAATATATTAATTATTCAAGATGTATTCAGTAATTATATATCGAAATGCAGAAAACAACAAAAAAATAAGAATAATAAGTAAATTTTTGAAATAATATGAAAATTTTGATAACATGCGACCATCCTCCCTTTGAGAGTATTTCTGTATAGCTCATAATATTTCTTTAAATTAAAATTAATTTAATTTGTATTAGATAAATATATTATGAGAATATTATTATGAGATTAATATCGTCTTATTAATTTAAAAATTTACCTGAATAAGTCAGAAGAATTTAGAAGAATGCTGGCCATGGTCTCTCCACATTCTTTAGGTTCGGTGACAACCAAACCCTGTTGCAAAGCCAGGTAATACCTCGCTAAATATACTGGTAAAATTTCTTCACCAGTCTTTTTTGCACAAAATATGCGACTTAATGCTCCTATTGCTTCTGCTCGACCTAGAGAAATAGTCATAAATTGAATAAATATTTTATTATATTCGATATAAATATTAAAAGAAGACGTTTGTTTATACCTGATTCGTATTTATCTATTGTTAAATACGGAGGCAAATCCATAACACCAGTTATTGAAGTAGGTTGTGATAATGAAATATTGCCCTTTCGAGCATCGACCATCATCGAACTTGGGCGCTTGCTCACCTCACTAGCTTGTTCTGTAAAAAAGACATATATTCATAAAGGATACTTACAAAACAAAAACAATTAGATGAAATTAACCCTGAAAAAAATAAAGGATGGATAATGTCACTAGAAGAATAAAAAATAAAGTATAATATAAATAAATAAAAATGAAGAGTTTGAATTGAAAGTTATTGGCCAAAAATAGAACATTTCTGCGCATTTTCAATATAAATCGAATATTTTTTAAACCGCTGTTTAAATCAGTGTTCAAAACCGTGCCTAAATAGCGATCCATAATTGCATACACAGTTTTACACAGAATATTGAGTTCAAAAATGTTATAATAAACAAAATATTGTATTTATTCATAACTTTGTTTATAATAAAATAACAATAAATAAACGCCCGTTCAATATTATTGCACTTATTCCATGAATTACACAGTGCGAATAACAATAAAAATTCATTGCTATGTTATCTAATAATTAGCAGTAAATTTTATTTATAATAATTATAAAAATTACAAACAGGTACATACTAAATAATATCCGTGGCATGATTCACACACAAATTGGTATTATTATTATGCACATTATGTTCCACAGTGTTTATTGTGTGTTTTCAATGCCATACAGCTGATCCATCATGAATATAATGTAGTTGTATTTTCTCTAGTAATTATTTTATATATTTTTTGTAAGTATATCGTTTTTTTTTGCAAATCATATTTTGTATTTGTATTCTAAATAATTCACAAGTTCACTTGATTTTTTAATTTAAACTTTAGGAATAAATACAAAATCTGATCTGCTTCGATTATAACGGTAAATAAACAAGGTAATTAGCACCTAATTTGTAGTTTGAAGTGGTAAGTTTGTAGTTCTCCTGTATCGAGGAGAAAATTTTGGTAATCGAATTTCATACAAGTAGTACTGATATTAATGCTTTTTATATAATAGTACTTATTCACAATAATGTTTTTGTAAGCTATTTTCACTTAGAAACATATTTCCAACTATATTTTCTAGTGAAAACCGATGTTACTCCTGCTTGACATCAAACTGTCCGATGCGAGTATTGAATATGGGACTTCTGAATGAAATACCATATTTCTAATCACAAAATTATTCATTCATAATGTGGGTAAAAATCATTAATATATACCATTTGTTACATATGTGATTAAAAAAAATGTAATAATAAAAATTCATACATCTGGCCTTCGTGATAAAGTATTTGTCATAAAATTCTTAAGAGGAAAAAAATGAATTAGTGTTTATTTTCATATTGAAAAATAAAAGTTTTCAAATAGAAAATTGCAGTACTCCAAATTTAGGATCAAACTCCAAGCCGAGTCCAATTGATGCTGGCTCAAATATTTAATTTATAAATTTGCCTTTGGAATTCCTTTATTGATGTGGATGTTTCGTGCAAATATTGAATAAAAAAAATGCATAGGAATTTTATGCGATCTATCATAATATTTAGAAAAAAAAAATCAGCACTAAAAAGTAACTAAACTCATCTATGATTCAAATATTAATGAATAAATTCTTAAGATATCCCAATAAATATTTTAAAAAATTACTATATTATGATTACTGAAGAAAATGTTCACGTATAGTATAAATATTAAACAGCTTTCAAATTTATCAATTGTTTTGTTCTATTATTTATGTTATTTTATGAAATTTCTAGATAACCATATAAAGTAAACATTTGTCATAAAGTCCGACTATGATTTAGTAGTCAAACTGCATACAAATGAATCACATTGTTTATCTCTACATTGTGTTTGTTCAAAGAAGACAAACGGACAAGCTAATTCAAGTTCGATCTATTATTTACACATTGATTAATAAATGAAATTTATTTCTTACATAGTTATGGCAAATGTAAATACTTAATTGACGAAATAATACGTTAGAAAAATAAATATTTTCGAGAATATAAAATTTAATCTGATAACATAACTTTCTTTAAATGTATATTGTATTGATTAATTTAAGAAATGCATAAAATTATAGAATATTAGTTGTGCATGGCATCGTGCCTTAAAGCAAATTACTGAAACTTGCCGTACCGATAATTAAATTTTTTAAAAATGCTTTAAAATTTTTGAAAAACTGAAAAAAAATATTTTTGAGAAATTTTTGAAAAAATAGATTTATTCTGTATTGATTTTTTTTGAAAATTTTTCCCGTTTCTACGAAACGGCTGAATCTGCCTTTGCCAAAATCTAATCCGTGTTCTCGAATCAAATTTTATAACCAGTCATATTAAATATGAAGCCTTTTAAATTCTAGAAACCTATATGCTTAAAAAAATTATTTAAGTATTAATAACTTAATAATACAATAATTTCTATATTTCGTTAAAAAAATTAAATTGCTTAAAAAACCTGAAAATCATTTTTTATATTTTAATATCATACTCCTAACGTATTCTCCGTAAGCATCTGCTAAACTAAAATAATAATAGTTCACCCTTTTTTATTGTTTTATTATTCGGTAGTATGAGCTTAAATGTGGACGATAAATTTAACACTTTTTTCCAAATTACAAAAAAAAAACGGCTCGGCCGATCGTCGCACAAAACTGAGTAACGATAATCCTCATCGATCAAATGGATTTTAAATATCTGAAATCGGTTCAGGCGTTCTTGAGCAAACGTCGTTGAAAAGTCTAATTTTGACAAATGCCAAAAAACGACACCAATTTTTGCAAACTTTGACGAATTTTTAAAGTTAAACGAGTTGTCGTAAGTCCGTAATATTTCAGTATGGTCTAGAACAGGCATCGGCAACCTACGGCACGCGTGCCAGGCTGTAGTAATTTTACACCCATTGTAGTATTGTTTACAAACATTGTAGTAATTTTACGCCCATTGTAGTATTTTTACAAACATTGTAGTAATTTTACACCCATTGTAGTAATTTTACACCCATTGTAATAATTTTACACCCATTGTAGTATTGTTTACAAACATTGTAGTAATTTTACACCCATTGTAGTATTGTTTACAAACATTATAGTAATTTTACGCCCATTGTAGTATTTTTACAAACATTGTAGTAATTTTACACCCATTGTAGTATTGTTTACAAACATTGTAGTAATTTTACACCCATTGTAGTAATTTTACACCCATTGTAATAATTTTACAGCCATTGTAGTATTGTTTACAAACATTGTAGTAATTTTACACCCATTGTAGTATTGTTTACAAACATTGTAGTAATTTTACACCCATTGTAGTATTGTTTACAAACATTGTAGTAATTTTACACCCATTGTAGTAATTTTACACCCATTGTAATAATTTTACACCCATTGTAGTATTGTTTACAAACATTGTAGTAATTTTACACCCATTGTAGTATTTTTACAAACATTGTAGTATTGTTTACAAACATTGTAGTAATTTTACACCCATTGTAGTATTTTCACACCCATTGTAGTATTTTTGCAAACATTGTAGTAATTTTACACCCATTGTAGTATTGTTCACAAACATTGTAGTAATTTTACACCCATTGTAGTATGTTTACAAACATTGTAGTAATTTTACACCCATTGTAGTATTGTTTACAAACATTGTAGTAATTTTACGCCCATTGTAGTATTTTTACAAACATTGTAGTAATTTTACACCCATTGTAGTATTTTTGCAAACATTGTAGTAATTTTACACCCATTGTAGTATTGTTTACAAACATTGTAGTAATTTTACACCCATTGTAGTATTTTTACAAACATTGTAGTAATTTTACACCCATTGTAGTATTGTTTACAAACATTGTAGTAATTTTACGCCCATTGTAGTATTTTTACAAACATTGTAGTAATTTTACACCCATTGTAGTATTTTTACAAACATTATAGTAATTTTACACCCATTGTAGTATTGTTCACAAACATTGTAGTAATTTTACACCCATTGTAGTATTTTTACAAACATCGTAGTATTGTTTACAAACATTGTAGTAATTTTACACCCATTGAAGTAATTTTACACCCATTGTAGTATTGTTTACAAACATTGTAGTATTGTTTACAAACATTGTAGTAATTTTACACCCATTGTAGTATTGTTTACAAACATTGTAGTAATTTTACACCCATTGTAGTATTGTTTACAAACATTGTAGTAATTTTACACCCATTGTAGTATTTTTACAAACATTGTAGTAATTTTACACCCATTGTAGTATTGTTTACAAACGTAGTAATTTTACACCCATTGTAGTATTGTTCACAAATATTGTAGTAATTTTACACCCCATTGTAGTATTTTTACAAACATTGCAGTAATTTTACACCCATTGTAGTATTTTTACAAACATTGTAGTAATTTTACACCCATTGTAGTTTTTTACAAACATGTAGTAATTTTACACCATTGTAGTATTGTTTTACAAACGTAGTAATTTTACACCCATTGTAGTATTGTTCACAAATATTGTAGTAATTTTACACCCCATTGTAGTATTTTTACAAACATTGCAGTAATTTTACACCCATTGTAGTATTTTTACAAACATTGTAGTAATTTTACACCCATTGTAGTATTGTTTACAAACATTGTAGTAATTTTACGCCCATTGTAGTATTTTTACAAACATTGTAGTAATTTTACACCCATTGTAGTATTTTTACAAACATTGTAGTAATTTTACACCCATTGTAGTATTGTTCACAAACATTGTAGTAATTTTACACCCATTGTAGTATTGTTTACAAACATTGTAGTAATTTTACACCCATTGTAGTATTGTTTACAAACATTGTAGTAATTTTACACCCATTGTAGTATTTTTACAAACATTGTAGTAATTTTACACCCATTGAGGTATTGTTTACAAACATTGTAGTAATTTTACACCCATTGTAGTATTGTTTACAAACATTGTAGTAATTTTTACCCATTGTAGTTTTTTTACAAACATTGTAGTAATTTTACACCCATTGTAGTATTTTTACAAACATTGTAGTAATTTTAACCTCATTGTAGTATTTTTACAAACATTTTAGTAATTTTACACCCCTGTAGTATTGTTTCCAAACATTGTAGTAATTTTACACCCATTGTAGTATTGTTTACAAACATTGTAGTAATTTTACACCCATTGTAGTAATTTTACACCTATTGTAGTATCGTTTACAAACATTGTAGTATTTTTACACCTATTGTAGTATTGTTTACAAACATTGTAGTAATTTTACACCCATTGTAGTATTTTTTCAAACATTGTAGTAATTTTACACCCATTGTAGTATTGTTACAAACATTGTAAGTTTTTACACCCATTGTAGTATTTTTACACACCCTTGTAGTATTTTGCAACATTGTTATTGTTTACACATTGTAGTATTTTTACACCCATTGTAGTATTGTTTACAAACATTGTAGTAATTTTACACCCATTGTAGTATTGTTTACAAACTGTAATTTTTACACCCATTGTAGTATGTTTACAAACATTGGTAATTTTACACCCATTGTAGTATTGTTTCACAAACATTGTAGTAATTTTACACCCATTGTAAGTATTTTACACCCCATGTAGTATTGTTTACAAACATTGTAGTAATTTTACACCCATTGTAGTATTGTTTACAAACATTGTAGTATTTTTACACCCATTGTAGTATTGTTTACAAACATTGTAATTTTACACCCATTGTAGTATTGTTCACAAACATTGTAGTAATTTTACACCCATTGTAGTAATTTTACACCCATTGTAGTATTGTTCACAAACATTGTAGTAATTTTAGACCCATTGTAGTATTGTTTACAAACATTGTAGTAATTTTACACCCATTATAATATTTTTGCAAACATTGTAGTAATTTTACACCCATTGTAGTATTTTTTCAAACATTGTAGTAATTTTACACCCATTGTAGTATTGTTTACAAACATTGTAGTAATTTTACACCCATTGTAGTATTGTTTACAAACATTGTAGTAATTTTACACCCATTGTAGTATTTTTACAAACATTGTAGTATTTTTACACCCATTGTAGTATTGTTTACAAACATTGTAGTAATTTTACACCCATTATAGTATTTTTGCAAACATTGTAGTAATTTTACACCCATTGTAGTATTTTTTCAAACATTGTAGTAATTTTACACCCATTGTAGTATTGTTCACAAATATTGTAGTAATTTTACACCCATTGTAGTATTGTTTACAAACATTGTAGTAATTTTACACCCATTGTAGTATTGTTTACAAACATTGTAGTAATTTTACACCCATTGGACTTATGTACATCAAATTATCAGATATTTTATAGAGATTTTAATACTGTGTACATATCTTGTGTAATTTTTTTTGGGTTCATTACCAAGATTTTTAATTTCAGTATGGGAAGTTCCTGCAATTTGAATTAAGGCACGCTGCCATGCATCCCATTAGTTAATAAAAATGTTTAAGAGATAAATTTGGTTATAATTCTTCTCCCCTAGAACTTGATTATATATTTCAGAATTCAGGCGGCACCCTGAATCATATTGGTAGAGTGGCTCGGCACACCATAGTTAAAAGCTTGCCGACCCCTGATCTAGAAGACTATGGTATCTACCGTCAAAAAAAAATCGTCTGAAATTTTTTTTTCAACACTTTATTACAAGAAAACGGCCCGGCCGATCTCTACCAAAAACTAATCAGCACGATTCCCAACCAATATCTATCGAATGGTTTTTGAATTTTCAAAATCGATTCAGAATTGCGGGCTGAAACGTTGACGATTTTTTTTCACTTTTCTGCTATTTATAGAGAAACGGTTTGGCCGATCGTCGCACAAAATTGATAAACGCTAGTCCTCATCGAGATACATCGAAAGGCTTTTAAATTTTTCAAATCGGTCCAGCCGTTTTTGAGAAAACGTCGATTTACGGCAAAAAATCTGTTCACACACACACACATACTTTTTCCAAATTTGGTCTCATTCGATTCAGAATGGCTTGAAACGTCGTGGAAACATAAAATTAGAGAATCGGGTTTTTTGATGAAAACTTAAACATCTCCTTCGGGAAGTTAATAAATAATTATAATAATTTCGTACGGAGTATATATCAATTTGATAATATAAATTTCTTTTCCACTGATTTGTTAAAAGAGATATTTCAAATCTGTGTCAATATTTATTAGATTTTTAAAAGGAGATAATGATTCACATTACTCATATAGATCTTGGTACCTTCAGATTATAAGGGCGATAGCACATATATATATAAAGGACGCAAGTAAATGATCACAGACAGTTTATCATTACACTTGGACGTTTACAGTAATAATTTTTGACACAAAAGTGAATTTGGATCTAATACTTTAAGTAGGATTTTAGTAGGCGAATCGTTTTGAAAAATTCACCTACAATGTTCTATTTAGCGTGTTATATCTGCTCATCTTCATATAACGCATTCGATAATATTCAAATTTATGTTATTATAATTATGTGTTTATATTTTAGAATTCAGTTTAGTAGTGTTTTGGGTTTTTATTCAGAACGAACAGTTAGGAGAATCGTTATAATACAAATAATTGATGAACACAAGTTATTTAAACCGTTGGGGGATATAGCGGTAACTTTATGTATTATATTTTAATTTAAAAAAAAAAAAACAAGAACAAAATAAAAAAGGATATCGTATTTTGAATACATCGGAGGCGTAGCGTGCCTTGGGGCCTTTGGAAATGGTAGAAATTTCTCACCATCATAATTATCTATCTACAGGCAATGTAAAGTAGTATAAAAATAATATAAATATAATATCTGACTTACTTTTATTGTTGAGATACCACGTTTCACTTCCTTGATGAGCCGCTTCAAATAACCATTCTCCAAATAAGTGCAGAACACTATTGCATCTAGGTCTTCCTGATGCAAGCTGCGCTCTTGGTTCATGTCCTAAAGACATCACAGCTGAAGGAACAAAAATATATTAGATATCGTTCCCAAAGCAACTAATTTTCCTAAAATCATTTGATATCGTATAATAAAATTTAAAGTGTGTTCTTTATCATCACTATATCAGCGCACAATTGCACAAATAAAAAATACTATTAAAAACTTTCTCAACAATTTAATTCAAAATGAAAAGATTTTCTATCATATATGTAACCTCTCGAACGAATATATTACAATATAAAAAAAAAAATTTAAATGTGACTTAAAATTTTATTCAATATTTTAAGGAATTAAGAAAAATAGTTATAATATTTCAAATAAATGTCACAGACGAGGAATATCATTATTTACTCAACGTCCATGAAATTTGTAAATTGTTAAAAAAAGTTTTGTTTCCTTTTTCTGAAAAAAGTCAAATAATCATTAACTTACATGTAATACTCGACGTTGAAGAAGGACCAGAGCTTGGAGCAGAGGCAGGAGGCACGTTCGGTGTACGACTGCTAGTCAAGCCTATCAAAGATGTCTTTTGCAAACCTAATAAAAATATTAAATCAACAATTAATTTATCAAACTTTAATAGATCATATCATTAAATATCGTGAACAACGAAAAATGCCAACAGAAATGTTTTCACAATAACTCTAATTATGCAGATTTACAGACAGACACATAACAGAACTGTCGACTCAGGACCCAAACACTGAAATTTAATAGTAATCATTAGTTGAATCAATATATAAAATTGACGAAAAACATATGTATTAGTGCGTCTGTTATCCAAATGCAATTATAAAATATACAAAATAGGTGTTTGAGTTTAAACAGATCCAAATTATACAGTATTGATAGCCATGTGTTTTATAGATAAGCAGCAAATGATAGAAAAACATACAAAAAGCGGAATTTATATATATATATATATATATATATATATATAACTATTGCATAAATGAAAATTCACAATTAAGTTTTTCTTTAACATAAGTTGAAATTAAATCTATTTTTATATAATCATGGATATTATCGTTATATATGTATCAAAATAAATCATCATAAAAATATGTTTTATAAATAATACGCGGTGCAGGAAGCAGCATGGTGATTGGCGATGCAACAATTTAATTATACTGAAAATAAATTTCTAATAAAAAGTGAAGTGGTATAAAATCGAATTACTTACATTTAGTTTTGAAATACCTATAAAGATGTGCAAATATTTTGAACTGGTGCAATTGTTTAAAATAATCCACAAATATATACATATATTTAAATTCAAAAATTATATCACAAAGTAGCATTATATCTGGAAACTTCTGTATAAGCTATCCATTAATTTCGTGTTCCAAGTTAAGTGCTTGAAATATAATATTTGATAAAAATAATTTTTATATTTTTTCTGAAAATTTTAACTACCAATATTAACCAATAGCGGGCCAAACATAATAATAAAATATCCCAAATTATCTTAATTTAATTTGAAATAATATTAAACTAATTATTCATTACATCAATGTTAAACATTTTATTATTAAAATTGCTCATAGCTAAGTCGGAATTTGGGTTTTTTATTACTAAGGGCCTGAACCAGTGCTACCACTAACCCTTAGATTGTGAGGACGCAACGCTGAAGCTTTTAGCCAGCCTACGCTGTGCAGGAGGGGTTGGATTATGGTGAACGCTTCCAGAGGATAAACGTCCTTCAGAAGTTACCCCTCCTCCACCACCAGTTCCAACTGAAGAAGGCCCAGTCTGACCAGATGAAGTTACAGCAATTCCGGGCGCCGGGCCGACCCCGGTCCCAGAACTTCGCCTTAATTCAACGTCTTCCCAGCTCGAAGAATGTGGCATGCCTGTGTATCCAATACACATATTGGAAACTCTTATTAGTTAGCAGTAATAGTAAGAAAAGGGTGTAATTAAATATAAATTACTACGACTAAAAAAATTATGAACCTATAATCCATAAAGATATTAACAGACAAAACAACTTAATAGCTCTATGCACTTACCGAGAAATGCATCAACTTGTCCAGCAATACCCTTTACTGCTTTCAAAAAAATTATAGGTAAAACACGTAAACAAGGATGGTAACATGAATCAGTTGCATTAGCGTCACTAGCCATAGCAAATGCGTGAAAACGTGGTGTGTTTGCAATCTCTCTGGGCCTACATAATGATGCTGGAGTTCCCAAAATGTGCAGGAAACGGAACCAAGATTGTGCTACGCAATCATTTGACATCCCTTGTGGAATAAGCTGGGCATCTTCCTCCACTATTAAACAAAGACAAAATTTAAATGGTTTATGCATAGATTTATAATAACAACAAAATATGGTGTGCTTGCTTGATTTTATTTTAAGTATAGTAATCAGAGATTTTCAAAAGAAACTTAGGAAATAACTTACATACTTTAAGTTCAGGAAAATTAGGTCCATAAGTAAATTCAAGTAACCTGGCAGTTAGAGCTAGATTTATTCTATTCCATTGCTCAATAAGAGCTACACGATGACGCCAATGCATACATGACTCTCTTAATGTCTTCCACAAGGACGGAGAAGGAAAACACCTAAAAATTATAAATGTTTATGTTTCTGATGAATTCTATTAAATATTATATTTTCAATACCTTACGCAAGCCAGAAGCCAAACTTCAAATAGTACACTCAGCACACGCTCGCATAGTTGATCTCCAACATCATCTTTAATTGTTGGAGGTGCTAATAGAATCTGCATTATTTACAAAAAATAGGAAAATAATACAACATTTCAAATTTGAAATAAAAGTTTTGCACATTTAAACAAAATAAATAAAGCAATTTTTCATTAAATAATTTTAAAAAAAGCAGAAAATACCTCATTTATTGCCAACAAAAACAGCAATAAAGCTTCCCAAGTTTCTCTTGTCAAATCGATTGAAACTTGTGCAGTGTTCTGCAAAGTTCTTAACACACGATGACAAAGTACAGCTTGCCTGTTTATAACATCACTTCCTGCAAATTTATGTATGTTTGTAATATTTATATCTACAGCAAAACACATTAAAGTTAATTAACAATTGTTATTGAACATCAGATGGCTTGAGTTATATACAACTTCATTCTATTTTCTTTTAAATTTTTTCAGGAACTAAATGTATATTTTTGAGCATAAAACTTTTTTACTTCCTCTTCTATAACAGACTAAATGTTTGCGACTTGTTAAAGTATGAACACATAAAATTGATTAACAGCTGGGAAAATATTAAATATTAAATAAAAAACACACTATATTAAATAAATGATATTGTATGACATAATGAATAATAACTCATTTTGCATATTCCGTGAATGTATTTCACAAGAATAGCATGGCGTAAAACATATAAAGAACAAAAGACCATTGCAATGAAAAGAACACATGAAAATATCAAAGATAACCTTACCCAAGTCCAAATATAGAAAAGCCCAGTCTTGTAAAATATAAATAATTGATTAGAATGAGAAGTCTCAAGAAGAGCTTAAATTATTAATCTAAGATTACCTTCTCCTTGTCTAGGAACAAACAAATTATGTAAATGTTTGATCATTTTTCTTGCATATATATTTGAGTCCTTGCAAATTGGCTTGGGTACACTAACTTTTGGAGTTGGATGCAATGCGGTTAGCCATTCGCAGTAAATGTTTACACAGTCTCTTATTGTGTCATGTTCTGATAACGGTAGTGATAGGCCAAAGCAAATCACTTCCATGCACCATTGAACCTGTAGTGAAAAAATATACATAATAAATAAAAATAACAAATAATATAAATTATGCATATGATGATATTTTATAAATATATAAAACTAACTTCTTGATCACTTATTAAGGGACTGGGCTCAGCGGCTTGTGCAATTCCTAGATTTCCAGCTATTTGTTTGACTACAGCAAAAGCTACATCTCTCCCTGCACCACCTGATAATTTCTCCAGGACACTTCCTCCCTGTTGACCCTCAATATTCTCTGTTAACACAGGATATAATGATGCCCAATCTGAATACATTTTGATTAATTTCTAATATGATGACGATTTATGTTAACACTGTGATCCAATACACGTTTCAAAAGATTCATAGCATTTGTATATTTATTACATTTCAATCTTCTATGAAACGTTATGATCGTAAAAAATATGTGCATTTGTCTATAGTATTTTTATTTTATAAACAGTAAACATCATTTTTTTTCATGAACTGTCAAACAAACTAAAGTGCATTAACCTCATTAAGGTAAGAAGGTAAGGTATGGCCAATGACGTTTCTCTAAGATTCGAACCTTGCACACCGGATGATATTAAGTAATCAGTGTTGCCTACATCACAGGGAACCCACCGGTTATCGAAAGAATAAAATTTATAAAATACATTATTACTAGTACTTAAAATATATTAGTTTTAATGTAAATTTAAGTTAATATTCTATTTTAATTTGATTACAAAATGGAGGTTCAATGCAACGTTTTATGAAATGAATCAGTTACTACAGTGCTACCATCTTGAAATCTTACCCGAAATTAGCAATATAAATAACAATTTCTCCACATAAATGTCAAAAAGATAATATGGCCGGAAAAAATAGCGTACACAATAATAAGAAAGCAGTATAATGTTGATAATATAACGGTAATGATAAGGTGATGTCACCGAAAGATAAATAACAAGTTTGAGGAAGAAGTTACGTTGCATTCTTTAGTATTATTGCAATTAATTGAATTTTAGCGTTTAATACATACAAATGACCGAGTCACAAAATGAAATTCACATTAATAAACTTCCTCCAAAATTCATTGTTAGAACCGAAATTAGTGAAGACGATGAATACAAAATAGACGTTATAGAAAACAATAAAAACTGGTCCGGTATTTTCACTACTGCCAGTATGAAACAATTTGCAGAAGGACTGGGATCATCGTTAGAAGATTATAAAAGTAATGTTAAATATGTTTTAACAACCCATGATGGTGTGCCTTATTGCACTTATAGCATTGAAGACAAATATTTTATATGTCGCAAAGAAATTAAAAATACTTCTATGAAATCTGCAGTTTTTAAAATAAAACTTGAAGTAAATAAGAATCTTTCTAACATAAATGTAATTGATGATTTAATTGAACAAAACACAATGTTGAAAATGCAACTAGAGCATGTCAACTCTCAGCATAAAAGTCTTAATGAAACAAATGCAGAACTTATACTTAAAGTGAATAAATATAGGCAATTAAAAATTGATATGGAAGAAGAATTATATGGAAAATTTTTGTTATTGTTAAATCAAAAGAAGGAGAAAATAAGGGAATTACAAAATATCATTAATTCAACACAAAGTAAAGAAAGGATTGAAGAAATTGATGAAAATAACTCGAGTAGCCCTTTGGTCATAAGTGATAGCGATCATGATGATTTCATGGAATTGAATTCTCAACATTGTTTAGATGAAATTTCAAGCACCATACCAAAATTTAGTACAGATGTTCCTTCAAGTTCAAATGCGAAAAGACCAAGGCGTTTAAAAAGCTTGAAAGCCACACCTTCTACTTCAACATCTAGTTCTTACAAAAACGATCATAAAAATGCAGATGAATTACTAGATGAATTTGATTAAATTTATATAAACTGAATTGTTTAAGAAATGTTATTAAATAATTGTTTGGTAATAAAAATTTAAATTTTATAAATTAAAATATTTTTTCAGTAATTTACCAATCTTGTAATGTAATGTAATGTATTTTTTATATGATTTAAACAATTATTTTTTTTAAATTAATTTATATTTATCGCTTGTGAAACAAATAGCACACAATACAAATCCAGTTATTAAAGTTATTATGATATGCGCTGATTCGTATATCAACTTAGGGGCAAAAACTGTCCATGCAAATAAGTGGTTTCTTTGAAAATACACCATTACTAAATACCAACTCAGTGGTACTAACTTACATAAAAATATATTTGCTATAAACTTATCTAAGTCTTGAATATTGATATGAACCAATGTATTAACTATGGCAAGAAGTGGTCCTGAATATGTTAAAAACGCGATTTGAAGAGCAACTATAAAAGGATTGTAAAACGACAAGCCAGAATATCCGGAAGAGACATCCACAGTCGCCAGATTGTTGGAATTGCCCTGAAAAGATAAATAATGAGTATATTTTACATTGAATGTAAGAAAGTATTTTTATTAAAATAATTTATTCAAAATTGGCAAACTTTAGTAATTTAGTTGTGTAGAATAGTTAAAAATTCATATCATCTGACCTGTTTGTGCAACCAGATGAACGCTTTTTAAATAAAAAATCAATTAAATTGTGAATGGTTTTATAGAAAGAATAATTAATGTAGAAATTGTTCTATATACCCAAAATACTGAAATATATATTTAAATTTCGAAAAATAGAAATGTTTATCGCGTCCAAATTGAGTTTCATCAATTTGCTTTTAAACTTTTGAAATCAGTGTAGCCGTTTTAGAAAAATCCTTGATGAAAGGTCAAATTTTGGTTTAAACACATACATATTTTTTTAAATATTGGTACCAAACACACACACATACACACACACATCAATTTTTTCTAAGGCTTTGAAAAGTAAAGATATGAAAAAAAATTTCAGTTTCGATTTTTTTGCGATTACTATAAATTACCCTGCGAGAAGTTGATAATAGAAAATTATTTAAATTATACCTAAAAATATACATTTCTATAAAGTAAATTGTTATCAAACTTAACATACTTACTCACCTGCATAAAATAGAAAGTAAATCCGATCCAGATAGCTCCAATAAACCTCGGATTAAAAGATATTTTTGTTTCGACGACGTCGAAATTAAAAATGCTATTCAAAATAAATATAATCGAAGATAGCAAAAACACATTATGTGGCTTTTGAAGAAATGATAAGTATAATAAAAATGAGGCTAAAATTAATTTACTTTTTTGTGTTTTATTTGATGATATCAAAATAATAATTGATATCACGACTAGAATATTCAATAATATGTAATCAGAAGGAATCAGCGTTATTGGCAGTTTGATAATATTATATGTTAAGCTTTTAAAATAGTAAATGTGATGAAATATATGGAAAAGAATAGCGTATTTAAGAATCTTGTTGCAGTTGATATGATTTGCTATTGTGATGAAGATGCTGCATAAACCTGTAAATTAGGATCGTTTTAATTAATATTAAACTTGTAAATTAAGATCGTTTATATAACAATTTTTCATTATTCATAATTTAATAAAATTTTGTTTAAATTACTAGCATCCTTTAAAATGTAGTAATGCACCAAACAACAAAATGTATTCATCAATGTTATATTAAAAAAATTCAAAGCTGTTTTGGAATCCATCACAAACAATATGAAACGATTACAAAAAAAAAATAAACCGAATTTTAGGAAAATAGTATTTAACAATACAATCAACCCTACTATAACGCAGGAGTGCGTATCGCGCTATAAGAGAACAACTTCTTTATATCTTTCGAACAGTTTTTGATTTTTTTAAATCGATTCGGTAGTGTGAACTTAATGTGGACGAAAAGTTTAACACTTTTTTTTTCAAATTACAAAGAAACGGCTTGGCAAATCGTCGCACAAAACTGACAAACGATAGTTCTCATTGGAATACATCCATATGGTTTTTAAATTTCTGATATCATTTCAGGCGTTTTTGAGCAAACGTCGATGAAAGGCCTAATTTTGACAAATGCCAAAAAAACGATACTAATTTTTGCAAACTTAGAAGAATTTTTAAAATTAAACGACTTGTCGTAGGGCCGTAATATTTTAGTATGATCTATAAGACTATGGTATCTACCGTAAAAAAAATCATAGAAATCGTAGAAAAAAAAATTTAACACTATTACAAGAAAACAGCCCGGATTCAGAATTTCGGGCTAAAACGTCGACGAAAAATTTTTCACTTTTCTGCTATTTACAAAGAAACGGCTTGGCTGATCGTCGCGCAAAATTGATAAACGCCAGTCCTCATCGAAATACATCGAATGGATTTTAAATTTTTAAATTCGGTTCAGTCATTTTTGAGAAAACGTCGATTTTTACGGCACACACACACATACTTTTTCCAAATTTTGCCTCATTCGAGAACGTCGAGAAAACATAAAATTAGCGAATCGGATTTTTTGATGAAAACATAAACTTTTCCTCCGGGAAGTTAATTATATTAAAACCTACTTTTACAATATGTATCTAGTTAACAGTCATTCATAGGTTGCAGAAGAAACTTATGGGATTGAACGAAAATAGGAACGAATCGCGCTATAGTAGGGTTGACTTTATATAAAAATGCCAATTATTATCGAACAATATTTACCAATAATATATAATACAGAGTGTTCCAAAACATGATCACTTTCATTGAGCCAGTCAGAGTAATCGTATGCATTCTGATGTTTGTCACCAGTGCTATTAAGATCTCTTAAAATTCTCAATGCAGACAGTGAACAAAATACTTTTATTATTCGTTCATAATCGGTAAAATATATTCTTGTCTCTTTATGTTTATATTTTGCAAACAAACGGCAAATGTGACCTATTAACAAGATGATAAGATAACTGCTACTTAAATGATAGTAAATCATGTGCTCTTCTTCTATAAAACTCGTTGCCGATAAGCTCAGGGCGTGTAGAATAATTCCAAAAATCATGAAAATGATTTCAATATTTGTGTTATTCTGCAAACAAAACATAGATAATTAAAGATAAAGCAATGATAAAAGTCGATATAAAGGTCAGGAGCGCATTGCCACACGATATCGGACCCAACCTGATGGTAATTTACATCATTTCGAAAATAGAAAAAAAATCGATAAGAAAATTTTTCGACTTTCCTAAATCATCACTGAGTCAATGCCAAATTTATCAATGGAAATATGCGGCAATGGCCATATATATGTAATGAAGTAATGAAAGTATGTAAATGAAGCTACTAAAAAATCCAATTTCAGCAATGACTTTGGGAAATTATTTTAACAAATTGCTGACTAAGAAATATAAGTTTTCCAATTGATAATTCCCAAAATGATATTTAACAAATAGCTGTGCAATTGTAATTTTTGAATAGACCTCTATATTCCTTAGAAAACGAAAGTTATTTATTATGATGATTGCCATATGGTATAAATTCTCGATAATATGAATAAATAATAAGAATATGTTTTCCATATAAGTAGTACAAGTGGGTTTATAAATGAATGATCGTTTTTATCTTGAAACAAACAAGTGCGCCCACGAGGCGCCCACGTGTCTGCCGCTTTTGGAATTGGTAGTTTGGTAAAAGCACTTGTGATCAAATGTGGGTTCGAATTTAAATATTATATCAGAAATACTTTGACATACTTAGTAAGGCAAATACTTAAATATTTTCCATAATACTTAAATATATTAAGGGACCGATTCTGCCGCATAACAGAAAAATGTTATGGCAAGCCATGTTATGATTTTCATACTAATATTGACAAAAGCCATGCACTCGGTGTGTAGTCAGGCGAATTTCTCAGGTTGTTTGATAGAAAACATAACCTAGAAACTGCACAAATGTCAAAAAACGATGTTAGAAAACAGAGTCTTTCTGACTCAGGTTCATAACATACGAGTGACTTTGCAGTTTATGTGTAAAACACCTAAATGCGCAGCAAAAACATGACATTTTGACAGTATTCAGTATGAGTAGCATAATGTATGGAAGTTAGAGCGTAATGGCCTTGCCATAACATTTTTCTGTTATGCAGCAGAATCGGTTCCTAAATCAGATTGAAACCTATAAGTATCCCAAAAATAAATTACAGTGAGCGATTATGAAAAACAGTTTTAATATTTTATATATACATTTCATTTGACTATTTCATTAATATAATATCTATTATAATCAAAATATCTTTATATATAACTCTTCAGTCTTCTTTGTCTTCAATTTCCTTATAGTATTTCTTTATTTTTCATTTAAATTTATCGTCATCATTGGTCATCTTAATATCGTTTGGCAATCCGTTATATATTTTGCTAGCACTCCATATGACATTTTCTTTCAAATTCTTCTTTCTATTGTGCTCAATATCAAAATTGTCGTGTTGTCTAGTGTAGTGCTCATGTATATCTTGATTTATGTCTATTGTTGCACTTGTTTTAATTCGGTTAAATTTCATTTTGTGTATTAGTTTGCATTTCTCTATTTTAATTATGTTATTTAGTGAATGATTATTTGTTTCTCTCTATAAGTATTTGGTGGGTGTTAGATGTGGAAAATTATATGCTATTTTTATGGCTTTATTCATTGTTCTCTGTATGTCATTTAGGTTTGCTTTAGTTGATTGGCTCCATGTTGTTATTCCATATAAAATTATAGGTATTATTTGCGTTTTAAGAATTAGTATTTTATTTTTTTTGCCGAAAGAGTGGATCCTTTTCAATGCCCCTGTTGATGTTCCTATCTTTCTTTTTATTTTGTTTATATGTTCTATCCATGTCAGTTTTTCATTTATTATCAGTCCTAAGTATTTTATGCTTTCCACTTCCTCTATTTCTCTATTATTTAAATCAATTTTTAGTTTAGTGTTCTCAGTATTTTTTCTATGTTTGAAATATATGTATTTTGTTTTATTGATGTTAATTGTTAGTTTATTTTCAGTTAGCCACTCAGTGTATATTTTCATGTCCATGTTTATAGCATCTTCGAGTCTTTTTTATCCTTATCCGCATATACTATGGCTGTATCGTCTACATATAATATGTATCTTCCCTTTAATTTTGCGTCTTTAAGGTTATTGGTGTATAATAGACATAATAAAGATCCTAATACAGAACCTTGTGGAACTCCACAGGTTATGCTACATCCTCCACTTGTGAAATTTCCCACCTTCGTCCTTACCACTCTTTTCATGAGGAAATCTTTGATAATGCTGTAACACAAACCCTCTACAACCAAATCTATTAGTTTATTGAGTAATATGCCATGATCTACTGCGTCGAAAGCTTTTTGTAAATCAATAAAAATAGCAACTGTATGCATATTTTCCTCAAGGTGCTGACTGATGGTATTAGTCAAATCTATTAGGGCACCTTGTGTATTTGATGAAGGGAGGAAACCATATTGATTGATTGAAACATCATTTCTATATTCATTTTCATTTAGTTTCTTCAAATTAAACTTTTGTACTTTTTGTTCTTTTTCATTATTCATGTAATTTCATTTATGTTTTTATCAAATAAAAACAAAATCAATTTATTGAAGTTATATCTAAATAGTTTTTGTTGGTAAAAACTAGGTTTTCTTAAATCTTGAAAATAAATTTGGCCCTTCTTGAAATTAAATCGATAGCTCTGCTAATACACAACTAATAAAAGTCAAAATGGCCGCGAGTGATATTTTCTGTTGACGTCGAGTTGACATGACTCTGATTTGTGTTCACATTTTTAAAGTTGTTTAAAATTTTATTTATTTATTTATTATTATTATTATATATATTCACTTCTTATTTATTATAAATAGTTTTTACGACAGTGTTATATGTTAAATTATAATTAAAAAAATTGAATAGCTATTTTAATATATATATTGTAAATATGTTATTTTTATATTGTTAAATTTTTAATTAAGTTATAACTATGGCTAGTGAATCTACAATACATTCAAAACCGCCGGCGCGTCAAGCAAAACTTTTGGCGGCAAAAAAACTTGCAGCAAGCAGAAAGAAACAAAACGATGTTGTAAAAGACATATTCGAAAATGCTATTCAATATAGCAATATTCGAAGAAAATCCACAGGAGTTGTTTTTGACCAATTGTTTTTTGAGCATAAATGTCTCTGGGATGAAGAACATCAAGAACGGCCTGAACGTTTGAAGGTAATTCTAGAGAAATGTGAAGATATGGGTTTGATTAATCGATGTTTAAGGCTATTATCACAACCGGCTCCTCTGCATTTAATTGAAATGAAACACACCTCAAAACATACAGGGTTTCTTCAAAATGTTTGCCAAGTGAGGGACATTGATGAACTTGAAAAAAATAGTTCTAAATTCGATGCTGTGTATTTTCATCCAAAAACTTATGAGTCATCTGTCTTAGCTGCTGGTTGTGCTATAGAACTTGTGGATAATATACTTTCAAACAAAATACAAAATGGTATGGCGCTCATACGCCCCCCTGGACATCACGCTATGGAATCTGAATATTGTGGTTACTGCTTTTTCAATAACGTAGCTATTGCTGCTGAATACGCATTGAATAATTATAATTTGAAACGAATACTTATTGTTGATTGGGATGTCCATCATGGACAAGCTACACAAAGAATGTTTTATGATGACCCAAGAGTTTTGTATTTTTCCATACATCGATTTGAACATGGAGAATTTTGGCCCAACTTACGGGAATCAGAATTTGACAATATAGGATCTGGCCAAGGCATGGGTTATAATTTCAATTTGCCTTTAAATGAAATTGGAATGGGCGATTCAGAATATTTACAAATCTTTAATCAAGTGCTCTTGCCAGTAGCATTTGAATATAATCCTGAGTTAGTGCTAGTTTCATCAGGGTACGATGCAGCAATAGGATGTCCAGAGGGGGAAATGAATGTATCTCCGACATGTTATGCACATTTAGTAGGCAGTTTAATGTCTTTGAGTAGTGGGAAAGTGGCAGTAGTTCTTGAAGGCGGCTATTGTTTACAATCATTAGGTGAAAGTGCAGCTATGACCTTACGGGCTTTACTTGGAGACCCCACACCGTCTTTGACTACAATTTCAGAGCCTAAGTTGTCTGTTATGGACTCTATTAGAAATTGTATATATGCTCATAAAACATATTGGAAATGTTTTGATTATTATGATGTATATCACGTAGATGAGGATATACCAGACAATAGTGAAAGTCTAAGGCACATGGTTACAGTAAAATCTGTGGAAAACATGGAAACTGTTATTGAATATCCTACACGGAATACTTATATAGTTCAAACAAAATCACATTTAGAAAACGTTCGTCAAAAGTTACAAAAATTACGCGAAATTACTGATTTTACTGTACCAAATTACAGAACTTGTTTCGTATATGATGATAAAATGTTGAAACATACAGACATGAACTCTGATCATCCAGAAAATCCCAATAGAATTGAGACAGTTTATAAAAAACTTTCAGAATTTGGCCTATTACAAAATTGCAAGCAAATAGTGTCCCGAACAGTAACCATTAGAGAATTGCTGCTAGTTCATTCCCCACAACATATTCAAAACGTTTGGAACACTGCAACTATGAATTCGAAAAAACTAATTATGGAAGAAAAAAAGTTGCAGTCAATTTATTTAAGCAACCATACATTTGAAAGCGCAAGTGTAGCCGCAGGTTCAATATTAGCAGTGGCAGATGAAATTCTTTTAAAGCACTGTCGAAGTGGCATTTGCATCGTAAGACCACCAGGTCATCACGCAGAAGCAAATGAGCCTCACGGATTCTGCATATTCAGTAATGCGGCAATATGTGCAAACTATGTTATAAAAAATTATAATTTAAAAAAAGTTTTAATTGTTGATTGGGATGTGCACCATGGTAATGGAACTCAAAATGCCTTTTACGATAATAAAAAAGTTCTGTACATATCATTACATCGATATGATAATGGTAATTTCTTCCCAAGAGGTTCTGCTGGTAATTACACTGACGTAGGTGGTGATGGTGCCAAAGGTTTCAATGTCAACATACCATGGAACAAAAAAGGCATGAAAGATGCTGAATATATCATGGCTTTTCAGCAAATTGTCATGCCTATAGCATACGAATTTAACCCTGAGTTGGTAATAATATCAGCAGGTTTTGATGCAGCTGCTGGTGATCCCTTGGGAGGTTGCAAGGTGTCACCTGAAGCCTATGGGCATATGACACATATGCTGACATTACTTGCAAATAGCAAAACGTTAATAACTCTAGAAGGGGGGTATAATTCATTATCAACGGCTTATTGTATGGCAATGTGTACAAAAGCCTTGCTGGGAGAACCTTTGCCACCTTTGTCATTATCTGCTGTAGATCCTACAGCTATAAGTAGTATTCGTAAGGTCATTGAGATACAATCACAATACTGGACATGTTTGAAAGGTCGTCATAAGATTCCAGCAGAAGACGTTTTAAATAACAAATATTTCAAACAGAATGCCAGTAAAACAGAAGCATATCATAAAAATGACCAATTTGAAACCATGAACAATAAATTGCAAGAATTATCTCTTAAGAATTAATTGTTAGTAAATTTTATTTCTTGTTAAAATATTTGTCTAAAAAAATTGTATATAAGCAGATGTTAATAGTTTTTTAAATCAGCAATGTATCCCCTAGCAAGTAGGTATTTTTTGGAATTGCATATGTGATTTATAAACAATAGAAGGCAATGTTTGAATAACAATGACAAAAAGTTTCGATTCGGTTTTTGATAAGATATTTTACATGATGCATATAGTTGTTAGACAAAAATACCTTCTTTCTAGAGATTTTAAATATATTATGACCAATTACTTTAATTGGTAATTTAGAATCGACAATGAGTGTTTGAACAAAACTTACCAAACAAAGTGTAAATTTGCTAGCAACATTTTTGATAATATACAAATTTATGCTCAACACCACAGATATTAGTGTGTTGAATAATAATATCCAAATAGTCATTACGTTTTGTGTGCATAATATATGTGTGACTGTTAAAATTGTTGTCAATACTGTTGCACCAAATAGTTTTTTATAAGTATTTTTAAAAACTTGTAATGAGAGATCTCCAATTAAAAATGTTGATAATATTATACCAAGTGCCTAAAATTAATTTATTATGATTGTATACGAATAAATTATTTATTTGAATTATGCTTATTATTTAATTACCTCAAACACGAGTATCATTGATAATATCAGATAAAATTCATTATAATTTGTTCCCAATGAACTAAGTTCTTTACTCATTTGTTTCATAGATGATATAAATAATATTGAAGATTGCTTCTTCAATAAATCATCTGTTTTATTACTCAATAGCCAACGTTCATACAATTTCACAGCCTTCAGATAATCCTTGTAGTATTCTGAAATAATATGAAATACCATTTAATATAAATTGAAAACATGATTTATAAGAATAATTTGCACAAAATTTCATTAGAAAAATCATTAGTAGTATACACATTACACTTTCAATATAATTGTTTATATTTTTTACTCATAAAATTATTGATTATTAGCAGGAAGTACTAACTATTTATTGTTAAACATGCAATTATTTATGTAAAGATGTTGCAGCTTTGTATAATTTAGTAAAATCAACATTGATATATTCCAAGTTACCATTGCTATAAGAACTCTCTAATCGTTCATGACAATGCTTTGCTAAATGCATTGCATTATAATACAGAGCATACATTTGTTGTTCAGAATTCAGTCTTGTTATCACAGAGTCAATAAGTACCCCAATACTGCCCATTGGTATTGGAATTCCTAATAATACTGATAAGGTTGGAACTAAATCTATTTGTTGAACATGCTCTAATCTAAAAGCATAATGTTATTAAACAACTTTTGTAGTTAAAATTTAATTAGTACTATTCAAGTAATTACCTAAAATTTGTATCTTCACATAAGTTTCCAGCAAATATAAGTGGAATGTTTGTTTCTGGTTCAGATGAACCTCCGTGACCACCTGAGTCCCTCATACCATGGTCTCCACTAATAATGAATAAATTTTTATTTTTTTCGGAATCCTGAAATATAGATCACAAAGAAGAGTTTCATGAAATTAGCTCTAAATTTTTGAATTTTGATGTCAGAATGATTTGAAAACATAATTTTACCATTTTTATTAAATTTTTGTAAATATATTCAATCACATCATCCATTTCTTTCAATTTTGGCTTAATATGTTTTCCCTGGGGTCCTTCTACATGACCAATGTGATCAAGCCCTAGGTAATGTAAAATCATAACACTCCAATCATCATTAAGCAACTCTGTTCTAACATTTTTCGTCACATTGTAATCTACCTAAAGAAACTTAAATGAATTTAAGTAAACTTTATAGTTTATATCGTAGATAATATATACCTCATAAAAATCTGTAACATAAAAGGAAGTTGTTCCCTCAAATCTTTTAAATGAATTTGGAAATAATTTAAGCCATGTATCATCACCATAAAAAACTAGATCTTTGGAATTGGAATTAAATTGGTATATTATATTATCCGTTGTTAAGGCTTGAGTACCAAAATTCAAGACTACATCTATATACGCTGGAATGTATCCAGTTGTTAAGGCCTAAAAAATAAAATAATTATGTAAAAATAACAATTATAACAAATTATACTTATTGATAAAAACTATCAATAATATTTCGACAATAAGCTATAATTAAATCAATATATGATCCATATATAGTAGAATATACAAAAATATTACGGAGACTAGTTTAACTTCAATTCATATAATTAAAATGATTAAAATGACATTTATACCTTTATTCTTGGCAATGTTACAGTAGGCGTCTTAATTTCAGATACAAAAGCACACGTATGTCTATCTTTAATAATCCTCTGTAGAAACGGCATATTATCATTGAAATCATATATAAAATCATTGCGAAAAGCATCAATAATCATCAAAACAACTTTGTTCACTGATTGAGAATAAGATTCTGAAGAAATACTAAAACAACATGAACATAATCAATTAGTGTAAAACACAAATATAATTCACATCATATTATATTAAATAATACATACGACTGAAAAGTTTTCAAATTCGGCAAATCTCTTTCTTCGAGAAACTTTTCGAATTAATATTCAAGGGAAAAAGCCATACAAAAACAGCATGAAAGCAAAACATGACACACAAAAGGTGTATAAGGTCCATTTAATCATTATTTTGATGGTAATTAAAAATGAATACGATTACAAATCATTGCAATTTAATTTTTTTATCGTTCATATAATTAACATAACCTAACATTGTGACCAACGAACAACGAATGAGAACGCAACGCAAGAAAACGTTGAAAAATGACAGATAACAGCTAATCCAGTTCTTCTCAACCCAAGATACATAACAGAATTCGCATCATTCGAGTTGATTACTCTAGATGTCACAATAATTTTACAATATACTATTTGTATATTATAGGTTATCATCTTGAAATATCACATAAATGTAAATGTTGAATTTATTTATATAATGTTCTTGGAGATATTTGAATAAAAGTTGTATACAAAATGAATAGTGCAAACCCGCAGCATGTTGCGCAAGAGACTCCGAACGACCCCAATCCCCTAGTAAAATTCAAAAATAAAATTAATTGCAATTGACATTTTATATTTATTTATGTTTAATTATATAAAAATTTAGGCAAATTACCAATTTTCACCTGACGAACTTCGAGTTTTAAAACAATGTAACGTTGAAGCGTTTTTTGAAAGATCGCTGCCTTTACTTACTATTTTTGGGACTACAACATACATGGGTGTTAAAAGAGGTACCATAAGTGCAAAATTTTAAATACTGAAACCAAACACACTAAAAAACTATATATATATATTCATTTTCCATATATGTATTTTCCATACATTTTTTCCACTGGCTTCTGTTTGTGTAAACCGTTTATAGTCTCCACATTTTGCTTTGTTCCTTAAATTATTTTTGCGCTTAAAGTTAATGATTTTATATATGTAAAAGAATAATAAATAATGAGGATACAATAAGTTATTATTTTATAATTTTTTAAAGTGCAATGTATGTTAATCAATTATATGAAAATCTAAATTGCATTAGCTAATAAGACATTTTTACTATTTCATCTGTAATTTCAACCATCTCATTTATTTACCCTGCTGGTTTCATAATTATATATTGTTTGAATTTTATAATTAAAAATCATTGCAAAATAATATGGATGTTTTAATAGGCTTTTTAAGCCCAAGCGCTAAGTATGGAGCAATACCAAAAGTATTAGGTGCAGTGGCTTTTGGATATTTTTTGGAAAATTTTCATATCAAAATAAATGCGCTCAAAAGTTAATGCAATTACCCAATAGTAGATTGGCACAAATATTACGGCAAAGAAATTCGGGGACTTGGAAAGGTGTGTTATAAAACTTATATGTTTGTATATAGTAATCAAATCAAGTCATCAAATTAAAATATTTGATATTAAACATTAATGAACTTTTTGCAGGATTTCTATAGACAATGCATTAGGCACCAGCTTAACTACAAGTTCTTTAAATAAGGATGTATATACAGATGGATTCTCAGAACAAGAAAGTGTATTGGACATGGATACAGACAGGCCATATCAATCAGGTCTAGATGATACTTATCGGCCAAATATGGATTGTAAGACATTCATAAAATACTATATAAATTCTTATTTGAAAATTTTATATTATGAATTTTATATTATTATTAGGGAATGATAGTTTGCACGAAAATCTACCACCAACTACGCCACCTGCTTCAAGTACAACATATGAAGAATTACGGAGGAAAAATCGTGAAGAATATCAAAAATCGAGGATGCAAAACTATAGGTAGGGAGCATGACATTAGAGATGTAGAACATCAGAGTTAATAATCTGCATTGTATTTTTGCAGAGGCTTAGTTGAAGATCTTCACTTGTTAAACCAAGAATACAGCCCACAGATGTACCTCCGAAACCCACAACTTCAAATAAGTATGGTGATAAATGGGATTAAATTATAATTGCAAGGTATAGAAGTTGAAATCAATTTTTTTCGATTATGTTTGCATTGCTTGTTGTTAATAAATAAAAAAAAATTAGACAGAAAGTAACATTTTGAATGAAATATTCTAAAAATGTAGTGTTAAATTCAAGAAGATATATACAGACATATATCTTTGATAAATTTATTAAATTACAGGTTTAAATACAAAGTATTATGTATATCTATATATACATAGTATAAAAATAACAATCACAGACCTATATAAACTGAAAAATTAATACGTCTTTAAGATGTGTAATATTTGGGGAACAAATAAAATCCCCAATTCTTCCAAGAATGTAACATTTGTAATTTAGATCTTCACGTGATGATTTGGAACGAATTAACTAAAAATATAATATGTTTTTAAAAAAAGGATATTCAAATTTAGAGAAAATAATAGTGTAATACCTTTAATAAGCTCTCCTTATCCTCGTCATTAGCCAGTGGTAGTAAAGCTGCTGCCATATAAGGACGATCAGCTTTAATACAACATTCTGCCAAATCTAAAAGATCTATTGATTCAGCCACAGGACAACACTATAAATATATAAATAAAAACATTCATTCTATCCCAATTTTATAAATATTATTTGAATAATACAATATTTATTATTAAGAAGTGAAATAAAGGCGATTTATTTAATTATTTCACCTGTAAATTAAGTAATGCAGTAGCACAACTTTTTTCTTGGGCGGGATTTCTTTTAACATCAGCTTCTACAAATGGCATTTTAATAATAAACTGCCATGCCTTTTAATAACAGGCAATGTGTTTAAATTTGGGTATGTTCTTAGCCATGTTAGTGCAGATTGCAACTCCTTGATCTACCAACAAATGACGTGAATGATGTAGAAATTTTATTATTTTTTACCTGGCATCAGTGAATATATTATTACTAGCTAAACATTAA